ATTCCAAAATAGATATAGAAAAACAATGGCAGCAGTCAGGTGTACCAAAAGCCTCCTAGTAGATATGCCTATGGTATCAAGTTGAAAATCCTATTTCGTCTTATTCTCAAATTATCACATTCACAAGATTTTCAGAAACATTTGACCTCTGACTTTGACCTTGAGGTTGAACTCAGTGACATTCAAACTTGTCTGACATTTTTTAGTAGATACACCTATGGTATCAATTCCAAACTCCTACGTTGCTTTGTTCTCTAGTTGTCACATACACAAACTTGGGTGTCCACGCTGCTCACCCCACCCACCTGGCAGGGTGACAACAATACCCCTTTTGCAGGGGTATTTTACAGCTGATGGGTAAAAATCCCTCATAACAACCGACTGGGCAATTCACATAATCACCACAAGAAATACCTGTTTTAGCTATTACCATATTCTGCTGAAACGCACTACAGAAAAATTCAACAATTTCCCTGTAAATAAATGAAATAAGTTGAAGTTAAAGATACAGATCTCTTAAACACACCTAAACTAATGAGTTATACCACATTAAGCCAGATGCCTAATGGCAAGGCACCAGCAAACATTTCTTCAAAACGCAGCTGCAACAAAATGATCACTAACCAGTTAAAGACCCTGTTTTGCCATCTAGCTCCGTGGCTCTGTCATCAATTAACAACAACATTAAAGTTACGGCATTTGCATCTAGGTTAGAAGCAGTATTTCTCTCAACAATTCATAATGAGCAAACTGGATTTCTCTGCCTAAATACTAGGCTACTCAATCTCATTATCCTGTCACAGTGCTGCAAAACAAAAGGACTAGTAATGTCACTAGATGCAGAAAAAGCCTTTGACAAAGGTAACTGGTTCTTCCTTTTCATGATTTTTCTCAGATTTCGTTGTGGAAGGTTATTCATTCATTGGACGAGGCCACAGTCACTACTAATGGGTTCATATTGCAATATTTTACCCTTCAGAGAGGGACCATACAAGAACGCCCACTTTCACACTTATAATTTGCAATTTTCATCAAACCACGAGCCACCGGAGTATGCCAAAATTTCAATATCTAAAGGTGTCAATCCTCTGTATTAGAACACAAAATTAATTTCTACACTGATGATATCCATCCATCCATCCATCCATTCGCTTCCGCTTATCCTTTTCAGGGTCGCGGGGGGCGCTGGAGCCTATCCCAGCGACATAGGGCGAAAGGCGGGGTACATACAAATATATGTAAATATATGTATATACAAATACATATACATACATATATATATATATATATAATACACACATGTATACACATATATATACACATATACACATATATATACACACACATATATATATACA